AGTGGCTGCTGCTCCTTGTGGTCCCTCACAGGAGTGGATGGGGCTTTGCTCCTTCAAGACCCTCCACTGTGGCTGGATTTGGAATAAACAGGCTCTGGGGAGGGAAAATGCCACTCCAGAGGGAGAAAACCAAGCACAAGAGGGAGATGAGGCCATTTGGGGTTCAGAGCAGCATGCATGGGGGATTTGCTGGTCCTACTGGATTTGATGCAGCTCAGGGGGAATTTGGGGGTTTGGGGTCACCTCTCTCCACCTGGCAGCGCTGGAGCCCTGACCTTTGTGCCCCTTTGTGCCTCTTTGTGCCCCTTTGTGCCATGGCTGCCCTGAGGGCTCTGTGCTGAGCTCCTGACACAGCCCCTGGGGCTGCACCTCACCTCATGGCAGGGCTGGGAAAGCATCCCCTGCTGCCACCTCAGAGCAGCCTTGGAGTGTCCCCTGCCCCTGAGCTGGTGACCCTAGGGGACATTCGTGGGGCACAAAAAGAGTCACTGCATGGAGGAAGCTCAAAGAAAAGGAAATTTAAATCCCTCTTAAAACCATTCCCTCAGTGTTGCCCATCACACAGCTGATTTCAGCCAGCCTGTGACACATGAAGACAGCGCCAAGCCAGGGTTTGTCACCAGCTCTGCTGCTGCAAATCCCTGCTGGAAACCAGCTCAGAGTCCTGAAACAGCAACACCACAGACCCTGGTGACACTGCAGGGACCACAGCAGAGTGAAGATCAACCCAGAGCTGGACATGCCATGGTGAATTGGGAAAAACCCACTGATTTTTGAGGCCCATTCCACCCTTTAAAGCATCCTTCCCCCTGAAGCACCAGCCACATCCATCATGCTCCATCAGCCCTGCACAGGGAACAGAAGGCAGGGATTGCACTTCAGCATTTATTTTTGCAGCAGCCCCTGAGAGCTGACTCACCTCCACTGCAGCCATCAAGAGAAACAGCAGCAGAGAAAAAACATGAAAGGGAATTTCAGTTTAACCCAAGCTGGTCTCAGTGCTGGTTTCTCCCCCAAGCCCTCCTGCCTCTGTCCAGCAGCTCAGGGCTGGGGAAGGAGCCTGAGCACACTCAGTGTTCTCCTGGCAGCTCCCAGATCTTGGCTACAACAGCTCAGAGAGGCATTTGTCACATCCCTGAAGCAGAGGCAGCAGGATTCAGCATGTGGTGATAGGGCAGCACATCCCTCTCCCTCCTCCATGCAGCAATCCCAGACACATTTCACTTTATTTGGGGTAAAATGACTCAAACAGAGCTGCCAAAGCACGACTCACTCTGTGCTTTAACCCCTTGGGTGCAGAAACACTACTACAAAATAGCCACTTTTGAGAAGATTTTTCCAGCAATTTTTTCCCCCTTTTTGCAGAATCAGCAAAGTTATTTTGCCATCATTCTTTTGAGTCTTTGCCCCACTGCTGGGTCTTGTTTTAGGGCATCAGGACTCATCCTTGGGAATCCATACAAAGGAAAAACATGGGCATTGCTTTGCACAGTTTGAGGGAAGGTGTTTTTTCCTTCCAGCTCACGTCCAACCACTGCTCTGTTTTCCTAACCAGCCTCTCATGAGGGGCCAACAAAGCAAAAGGGCACAAAACAAGCAGCAGTGACAAAAATCAATGCCTCCCCTTATCAACAGGGTTTATTTTCCAAGATCTGGGGCTCAGCCTTGCTGTCAGTCAGGATCAGCCTGACTTTGTACCTGCATCCGTTTCTGAAAGGTGCCACGCACAAACACATCCCTGCAGCATTTTCAGGCTGTGGGCACTACAGAGAGGCAATTTGTCACCAATTTAGAGAACAAACAGCTTTTGGGAGGCTTTGCTAACCCTGCTCAGACAGCAGCACGAGTTGCCCTGTACATGAGGGGTCAGCCTGAAGGTGATGGTGGTTATAGAAACCATAATCTTGGCACTTCATGACCAGAAAGGTCAGTGCCAGCATCTCAGGAGAAATAAGCTTGACCCCATCTGTGTCATCACTGTTTTGTAAAATCCACAAACACCTGGATTTATATCAGATGCTCCCCCATGTACTCTCAGGGTGGGCCTCTCTGCCAAGAAAAAGGACAAGTTTTGCCTTTCCAATCAAGCTACACATCTGATTTTCTGTAAATCCTACAGTGCCAGGCAGTCCTGGGCCCCATGACAGACTCCTTTAAGAAGCCTCAGCCTGTTTTTTTCCCCAGTCTTTTTATGGCACATATTTCAGTGCTTCCCTCATGCTCTGATAAGCTCAATCTTCCAGTGCAAGTGGATGGTACAGAGTGACTTTCTCAAGGTGATTGGGGTGTTATCTCTGAAAGCACCCAAGATGTGATGGAATTAGATACAAAGGGGAGTTAATGTTTCACCTGCCACAAAAATTAATCTATTACTGCGCAGTGATTATATTGCTGTATTTATTGTGTTTGTGAAAGGGAAGGGACAGGTCACTCCTGGTGAGGCAGTGGGAGTGCTCCAGGGACCTGGGGGTGCTGGGCTCAGCTGTGATCTTGCCTTTGCTGTCAATAAAACTCAACAAAAACCTGCAGGAATTACTAAAAACCCAGTGCTGGATCCCTCTGTCTCCCAGGGGCTGCTATTTCCAGAAGTGCCTGGCAAAATCTTTGCTCCCTGGGTTTTTTTTCCCCTTCTCTGCACATTCCCAAAGGCAGAAAGCACCATGAAGAGCCACCCAGCCCTGCAAGAAGGGACAAGAGTCCCCAGGATGGTGCTGGGCAGGGACAGTGTGTCCCCAGGCTGGGCTTTCCCACAGGGAGAGGGGAGAGCCCTGGGGGTGCAGGCTCAGCTGGGATCTTGCCTTTGCTGTCAATAAAATCCAACAAACCTGCAGGAATTACTAAAAACCCAGTGCTGGATCCCTCTGTCTCCCAGGGGCTGCTATTTCCAGAAGTGCTTGGCAAAATCTTCGCTCCCTGTTTTTTGTTTTTTTCCTTCTCTGCACATTCCCAAAGGCAGAAAACACCACAAAGATCCACCCAGCCCTACAGAGAGTCCCCAGGATGGTGCTGGGCAGGGACAGCATGTCCCCAAGCTGGCCTTTCCCACAGGGAGAGGGGAGAATGATGCTGGTGTCCCCCTCCAGGGACTTGTCCCTGGCTGCAGCATGTCCTGGCGGTGGGAAGGGGATGGGAACACAAACAAACGCTCCCTGTGACGCAGGGCAGCCCTCGGAAGGGTTTTCTGTCACTCTGAGCAAGGCTGGACACTCTGCCTGCAGCTCTGGGCAAGCACACAGGGGCTGTGGGATTGCAGCAAGCCCCTGCTTCCCAAACTGTTTGTGCTCACTGCCTTGCCTGGGATGAGGAACCTCCAGGGAGTGCAGTAAATGGGGCACAGGCACTTGTCACAGACATCTTTTTATGAAAAATCCTTTCCTTAGGATTTTTCCTCCTGTGAAGCTGAGAGGCCTCAGGAACAAAATGTAAACAATGGTTATCTGCTGCTATGGGATGCAACAGGTGCATCTGTGATTGGTCTCATGTGGTTGTTTCTAATTAATGGCCAATCACAGTCAGCTGGCTCAGACAGAGAGTCCAAGATAGCTGCCTTTGTTATCATTCCTTCCTATTCTTAGCTTAGCCAGCCTTCTGATGAAACCTTTCTTTCTATTCTTTTAGTATAGTTTTAATGTAATATATATCATAAAATAATAAATCTAGCCTTCTGAAATATGGACTCAGATCTCTGTCTCTTCCCTCAACCTAAGATCCCTGTGGACACTGTCACAGGCACTGGCTGGGAGAGCAGCAAACCAGTAACTTTCCACAGCAAATGAGGTGATTCCAGCTTTGTCTACACAGGAATTACTCTTTCCATCATTATTCCACTAAAACCAGCCTCGGTTAATGCTGGTGGGGTTGGAAATGCAGTGATAAATGGCACAGAGGGAGCAGGAGGAGGGCAGTGCCTGCGTGCTGCACTCACCAGTGTTCCTGTCTTCACCGACAGATTTACCTCTCCTGCTGCCTGATTAATTTATATCCACAAATAATCTTTTTTTTTCCTGAGCTACCTCGGATTTTGTAGGTGTGGTGTGTTTTATTTGCAAATAAATCCCAATGGTACATGTACATTTAATCCTTTCAGGGGCTTGTGGGCTGATTTATGACTACTGAAGGTAGAGAAGATCCTTTATCTTTTCCATCCTTCTTTGCAATAAACTGCAGTCCCAGCATTCTGAAAGCTGGCAAAAGAAATGTGCAAACAAAAGGTATGAAACAAGATAGAGGCCCTGTGAAGCACTAATAAAACTGTCCTATAAACATGTCCAATTTCACAATAATAAAGAACAGCCTCAAACCCTCCCTCAAACACTCTCTCCTTCTTACTGTTGCAGCAATAAGTGATATAACATTATTTTTTTACTTCTGTATAAAACTAAAGAAGTTCATTCACATTCATAAATTACTTTGAAGGGGATGAGAGGTTAAATATTAACCCCTCATTTTGTTTTCCCCCACCAAAAGCAAGCAGAATCCTGACAGTGCAGTGCTGGCCTTTCAAAAGGCTTCCAGGTTTTCAGGCACACAGCTCCATGTGAGGAGATGACCTAGCTCACTTGAGGAATCACACCCTGCTGATTTAGTCCAGGTTAAACATGATCTCAGGGAGATGCTAAAAATAGAATCCTGCTGTTTTCTTTGGGTGTTTGAGTACCTGGTGTTCTACTCAGCCACTGATGCTGCAGTGACCCAAAACCCTGTCTGGTGGCATTGTGCAAGAAAATAGAGATCAAAGCTTCTGAGCCAACAGAGGAACTCAGGGGAACAGCCAAAAATTCCCAAAACATCCAGACCACCCCCTGGCACAGCCCCAACACAAGAATAAAGGAGTGAATCTCCTGTGGAAATCTTAGATCCTGATCACAGAGCTGTTTAGGATATAGAGGGGTTTTTGTTCAGGCAAGGCTATCCCTCCCTCCTCATCCTAAATTAAATTATTGTTATTAAAGTGAATTATTGATACCAAGAATGCAATTAGTGTAGGAGTGATTCTGAGTGAGCTGTTTTCTAGGAAATCTGGGAACTGGGCTTTCCACAAGACTCAAGTTTTGTCCCTTCCCTGCTCTCATTAGTGCTGATGGAACCTGGATCCCATCTCAGTTCAAAAGCCTCTTGTGGAGGGCATCTTGGTCCTTCCTGAAAATAGGATCAAATTCAGGCTGTACAGACAAGACAATATAAAGATCCTACAGGTAATTTTCTCAACCATTCCCTGGGGAGCCTGTTCAGTGCCCTATCACCCTCTAGGGGAGGAACCTTTTCCTAATATTTAACCTAAACTTCCCCAGTACAGTTTAAATCCTGCAGCCCCAGGCAGATCTGGTCACCATGTAGCTCAGGTGTTTGTATTATATATTAGGGGAGAAATTTGCCTTCTACCAGGCTGCACAGTTCCTTGCAATTCCTTATGCACTAGAAAAGTTTCCAAAAGGGGAAAAAAAAAAAGAAATATCCAAACGTGTCACATCACATCTTAAAACACATGAAGACTGGGGAGAAAAAAAATAAAAACAATCCCTCTGGATCCAAAATTCCCATTTATCAGTTAGCTCTGCCAGGGAACAGCAAGTTCTCCAGGCTGAGCACACAGACACAGAGCAGTGGGTCAGTGGGGCACGGCGAGGGTGACCCCACCCTGGGTGTATTGTCACAGCCAGCCTGGGAAAAGGATCCTTTCCAGTTCCTTCCCCTCTGCCTGGATAAACAATGCCACTGCCACACCCTGGAAACTCTGACTGCCGTTATTGGGGCTGGCCCTAAAGGAATGTGCCAGGGAAAGAGGGTTGTGCCAGTGCTGGGACACACAGCATTGATATCATCACTGCCACCTCCCCAGACCTGCACGCTCCAAAAGATTTTGTACAAATATTTGGCCACTCCAATAGTGCCCCATCCAAGACACGGCTTCTCCTTCTCCCTAAGGCTTCGCAATGCTGTTTAATATTAATCTAGAACCACCCAAAAGCAAATAGCTGTGTTCTTTTTGTGCACACAATTGTGCAAGAACTTTTCTTTCCCAGTCCTGCACATGTGCTCGGGACAGAGCTCTGGTCAGCTAACCAAATTTCTGCACAGCAGTTGCTCAAGGTGCTTTAAAAATCTTCCTTGCCAAACACAGGCGCGTTTTCCGAGCGCACAACCTGACTGCACTCATAAAAAAGTTTGTGGAATGTGACGATGTGGAACTTGAAATGAGTCATCTCTCATCAAGCTGCACTCAGTGATGGAGGCATGAGCCAAGGTTTTATAACTTTTACCATAAAAACCAATAAAAATCATGCTTCAGCTCAAAGAATAGATCTGATAACGAGATTTCAGCCTTTCCATGCAGTGCAGTTTGCTGCATTGGCAGTTGGCTTGATCCCATCTAGAACTGACCAAATCAGCTTCAATTTTGTCTTTATTAATTTGAGTACTATTTGTTTTTCCATCTGCTGTATTTACTCCATTTCTCCTAAATTAAACCAGTCGGCATTTTTGCTTCATCCATGATTTATGCCAGGTTTCAAAACACCCTTTTTCTCCAGGAAAACACATGGTCAGAACATGGGAAAGATCATTTAATCACCGGTAAAATCTTATGAATTACCAGAAATCGACAGTACATTTCCCCTTGGGTTCAGTGGGGCCACAATTCCACCCCTTGGGTGAAATTGGTGACATGGAAAGAAACTTTCAAGCTCCTTTCTACCTCCCTCATCTTTTAGCTGCCAGTGGGTTGGGAAACAGCACAAATGAAGACTGAAGAGTATGAAACAGCACAAAGGGTAAAGAGTGTGAATAGTGTGAAACCATCACCCAAGAACCTGCACCTTGGGTGGGTTGGGCCCCCCAGTTTGTCAGGAACTCAGTAGACAAGGACAATCACAATAAAACAGGATCATCCACACTCTCCCAGCGAGCAGAACTGGACAAGAGCTGTGGTAGATCCCAGACTTCCCCAGGGAAGCTGCATGTAGGCCCAGGTTGACAGAAATGTTTTTTTTTCTTGCAGAGCATTAGGCACTATGACAATATTTTCAATAGAAAAGGCACATCCTGCTGGTCACTGGCACCCAAACCTACAACTCTGCTCCTCCTCAGTACAGATGATGGGAAGTACAACAAAAAGTCTTGGCCAGTATGGGATTGGTCCTTCAGTGTTGGTGCTGGTGGTGGCTCCACAGTCACCTTGTCTCCAGCAGCACAACCAAAGGGTTTTGCTCTGAGTCATGTCCCCTGCTGGGGTACATGAATCAGCTGTGGGGTACACATGAGTCACCCTGCTGCTGGAGCTCTGCCCATGCCCTGTGCCATGCAGGAGAGGCTCCCCCTCCTTCAGGCTGTACCTTGTCCTTGCATGCAGCTACATGAGCATCAGCTGAGCCAACCACACCATCTGAAGCAGCAAACTGATGGCATTTATGAGATTGGAGGTGGCAGATCCTCGCTGAGATTGGCACAGGGGGGATTAGGGGTCACACCAGTGGGTATGGAGAGAGGAAATTGCTGTTGTAAAGTACTTAGAGACCTAATAAGGCCCATCCCTTTCCCAGGACTAAAAGACCAGCCTCACAGCATAGGTGAATAATGTCACTGGGCTCTCACTGAAATGGAGATAAAATGGCAAACAGCTGCAACAAAAAATATCTCTCTGTGACCCACAATGATCATCTCTTCAGCCAGTGCTGCTGCTGCTCCCCACCATGCTCTGCAATGGAACAGGAAGGCTGGAAATGTCTCTTTGCACCCACCTTCTTTCTTCATGCCAGCTCTGAAGCATTTCTTCAGCCTGCAGTACCTGCACTGGTTCCTCTTGTCTTTGTCTATCACACACTGTCGGTTGAACCTGGGAGGAGATGGGAAATACAACTTGGAGCAACGTCCTCACCCTGAGCAGCCCCAAATACAGGCCCAGAGCTCCACACTGCATGATCCTAGAGAAGAGTCAAAGGTTTGCCAGAGATGGATTGAATCAGTGTTGGCTTGGCCCAGCTCCTCCTTTTCCCCACCGCAGCTCCCTCCAGCTGGGAGCTTCAGACCACCCACCCTGCAGGGATTGGGATGGGTTTGGCCATAAAAACACAACTGTGACTCCAGTTGTGCTTTTGTAGGAGCTCCATCTCCCACATCCAGACAGTTTTTGGGTGTTTGGCATTGGGGTTTGTCTGGTTTCACTTGTTAACTATTCTACGATTTGCGTAGAACAAAACGCGCTAAGGGCCACAAGGCCTTTGGGCCTGCGGCCTTGTTCTGAGGCCCATGGCCTTCCCATTCCTCCTCCTTTCCATGGGGATTTAGGAACCCTTGTGCTGTTCCAGGGGTGGCCCACACAGCCTTGGCAGCTCTCCCCATGGAGGATGAAACAATGGAAGGGGAATCTTCCATGCAGAGAGGAGATGATGTGGGACCATCAGGCTGTAAAAGCTGAGGCGCTTTCCCAGACTGGGAAAAAGCCAAAGGTACAAAAGCCCAAAGACTTTCAGAGGAATTCACGTCTGCCATAAGCAGAGCTCTGAGCTGGGCTGAGCTCACCAAATAAGGGCTTGCACACAAGCTTGGCTTCAATGCTGTGGATCTTCCCTGAGCTGCCAAGTATCACAGAGATTCATGGATTCCTGGGGAGAGGCAACTACTCTGCTCCCAGGAGACCGACAGCTGAAATTTCAAATAAACCATTACAGAGCTCATCTCCTCCTGCAGAATTCCCACAGCTCATGGGATGGGCATTTGCAGATGGACACTGCTGTCACCTCAGGTGTCTTCCATGTCCTGGAGTGATAAGGGCACCAGGAACATTTTAAACAAGTAGGGTGACTCGCATTGGAAAAATTTGGAATGCCCTTAGAGGAGGAAAGGCTTTGGAACAGAAAGAAAACTTCCAGGTTTTAACTAGAGATGAAGGGCTTAAGTGTATTGAGGTTTGGGATTTCTTTCCACTTTCTCCTGTGCTAAAATAAATATCATTTTTCCTAAGGTCAAATCAAGATAGCAGCTTTATAATTTATAGCCTTCTCCTGGCAAAAAAACCCCTTTCAAATGTATACCTGTGTGCCAAAGTGGATGTGAATCATCTCTGGTCCACACATATTTCTCAGAATATTCATAAAATCATCACTGATAAGTGAGTGTACATAATTTATTGTATTTCAAAACAAGAATGAAGAAGCTGTGAGAGGGCTTTGGAGGTGACAGATTCCTGGATGCCTGTTGTTCTTCACCAGGAAAAACAAGAAAGATGAAATCTCTGGAGCTTTGGTCCTTTGCCACCTTGGCCTCCCCTTGCTGTGCTGTGACGGGGCCATGGTGTCACTCCACACCCAGTGTCTGCATTTATGTATTTTACACATCAGTCAAACCTCAGGTTTTAGGTTGGACTGGAGGGTCTCAAAGATCTTTTCCAACCTTATCCTTTCTGTGGACTATGAGTTTCCCTCCATTCTCAGGTCTATGATTTTCCCTCATTTTACCCCGTAGGGAAAGCAGTGATGGCGCATTTGCTCAATGCACCACTGAAGGTCTCAGGGTCTGAATGAGATAAGACTGAGTTTAGAGATAGGACTGAATTTAGAGATAGGACTGAGTTTTCTCCTTATAAATCAAACTGCAGTGCTACTGGTGGCCTTCACAGCATAGCAACCTGACATTTGAGGTATAAACCCCTGATCCCCACCCCAAATCATTTCCCACATAAATCGATTTTTTGTTAATTGCTGAGATTCGGTACCTGCAGGAGTAGACGTGGTTCTTGCGGACGCTCCTCCTGAAGAAGCCTTTGCAGCCATCACAGCTGGAGGCCCCGTAGTGCTTGCCAGTGGCTCTGTCCCCACAGATGGAGCACAGGGAGCTGACCCCGTTGGGGAGCAGGTTGGGGTTTGCTGACTCGGCTGCGATGGGCTCTGTGGGCACAGAATGGGGACAGTCAGAGCTCCCTGCCATGGAAACCTGGCACTGTGATATTTCATGAAAAGTCCCTTTGCCAAAATCTTTTCTCCAAAGTTTTACTGCTTTGAAATGTGATTTAAAGAATTGTTTACTCAGCATGTGAATTATTTTTAATTAATAGCCAATCACAGCCAGCTGTGCCAGACTCACTGAGTCTGTCACGAGATTTTAATATCCATTCCTTTCTAACTTTCAAATGTCTCCTTCTTCTATTCTTTTAGTATAGTTTAAGTATAGTATATATAATAAGTAATGTAATGTAATGTAATGTAAATGTAAAATACAATATAATATAATATAATATCAGCCTTCTGAAACATAAAGTCAAGATTCTCATCTCTTCCCTCATCCTGGAGACCCTCAAACACCACCACAGAAACCTCCGAGTTTATGGTCATGCTCTTCCCAAGATCAGCTCCTTTCTGGTATTGGTGTTTTTCTTCACTTAAACGATCAGAGAGATTTCAAGCTGCATAGCCCAAACTGCTCTTTAGAATATATCATTAATCACTGCTTTCCTGGAGAGATATAAAGAAACATCACTTGCATGTGATTTTTTTTGGTTTTGAGGGATGGGGAGCCACCTCCTCAATGAGATGCCTGGAGAACATGGTTCAAAGCTGGTCTCCACAGAAGAAAATGGAGAAAAAAGCTCATTAACTTGAATAAATAGAATGCAGAGAAGAAACAGCAGAAGCAGAAAGGATGAACTGCTTCATGCCCATGACAGAGGTGCTGAAGATCAAAGATTGCTCTTGAGAGCTCCTCTGCAGCTGGAAGGCAGAGACAGCAGCTCCCACAGGGATCACTTCAGCTCTAAGTCTGGTCCCTGCTCTGAAATTCTCTCTGAAGAGGCTCACTGCTTTCCACTAGAAAGCAACAGAGGTGTGCAGGAAGATCAGATTTCTAAATTAGGGACCTCAAATTAGGTGATATGAACGGCCTCTGTCACGTCCTCTGTTTGCACCCACTCCTTTGGGGCAGGAATAGCTCTGCTGCAAACTCCCCCTGGAACCTCTCCCTCTGCCCTAACCATCAGACCTGCTGCCCTCTCAATCCTCCTATTTGGGGAAGGAAAGGGCAGGAAACCCTTGCAGGGAGGGCAGCTGGCAGTGCTTGTATCTCCCCATCTGTTTGCAGAGCCTGGCACTGGCTGCAGGGTGATTTTATGAATTTATCACATCTCTGGGATGTTCTGTGCTCCAGAGGAGCCCATCTCATCTCAGTGACCTCAGAGAAGTCCCTGGGACAAGGCACACCCTGATGTGTCTCTGGGATGGGACATCCTCCCAACAGAGGTGGGGAAAGCTCAGCTTAGCAATTTCTTAGAGAAAACTGCTCAAAGGGGAGGAATTGCCACCTGATCTGCCTAGAGAGAGTTTTCTAATCCATAATGCATAAAAACAGCTCTGGGTAATCCACACACAGGATACATACAGAGAGAGAGTGAGAGAAGGTTATTTTTGTGTGTAAATACATGTAAAAAAATTCATAGTGAAAGTATTTGCTGTGCAATAAAAATTGTAATCACCCCCCCCCCAAAAAAAAACATAAATAGCAAAGCCAACAAAGCTTTAGTTTTTCACAAACTGGATAGTTTCTTAGCTAAGGCTGAGACTAAGTCATTTTTAGCCAAGATTTCACAAATGCAAAGTTCAGACTTTCTGTCACCTCCTAAAATAACCCTTTTGGTCCATATTCACCTTCTGGTGCGTGGATGCGTAAATAAGTGGGTTACACCAAGATGGGAGCAACATGACAAGAAAGAATGACAGCACCAAAATCATTCCTGGGTCACAATGACAGGGATTGAGGTTTGCCTCTTCCCAAACTCTGTGTGAGATTCTCCCAGCCCTGACATTTGTCAGGAAGTGACACTTGGGTCCTTTGGGAACATTGCCTATGTCAGAGGTGTTTAATGGCAATTTAGGTTGAATTTTTAGGTGGTTTTTTTTTCAATTATTTTTGATTTTATATTACTTAATAACTTAGTATTAAATGAACAATACAGAATATTCCTTGGAGGATAACTGCAGAATATTTGGGCATCTGTTGTTCCATCAATTTTTTGGAGGAGCACATGACCATAAACAAAGGCACTGTGTTGGATTCCATTTTAAAAATTTGCACAACCGAAATAAAGATAAGGCAGCCAATTTCCTCTTCACTCCCCTCATGCTTTCTCTAGACTTCAGAGGAATCAAGCCAAGGTCAAATAGTTTGGATCTCCAACAGACTCTTCATCCAGGTCCAGACTGCAAAATATTCCTGATGCTGGAAAGTATTCACTTACCAGAAAAGACTTGATTTCCTTTTATATAGGATGGGAGAATCTTCTTGCTGTTATAAGGAATAAATTAATAATCTGGCCTTAAACAGGTGTTACTGGAGGGGAACCATCAGCACTGTGTGTGAGGGCCCTTGGAAATTAGCAAACCAAATTTTGCCCTCACGTGTATCCATGGAAGCCCAAACAAATCACCAGTGAGCTGGGTGGCTCTGGGTTAGGGCAGCTCCACAGCTAAAAGTTCAAGCCCTGGGAGGGAGCCACGTGTCCTTTCCAGCTGAATTGGCTGAATGTGGACACAAATTTTAACAAATAAAAGGAAAGCCCTAAACCAGAACGCACGTTAATTATGATCACAATTTTTAATTACAAAATCCTGCCGCCAGCTAATGATGGGCTCCACATGAGAATTAGCTCAGAGAAGAGCAAAGCACAGCTGATATCACAGGCACCAGGTAACTCTTTAACACAGCTTCCAAACCTCCCCAATATTTGGGTTTTTCTGTGGGGAAAGACCAGGATCTCTGGCAGCAGAGTCCCCTGCTTGCCTGTGAAATCTGCTTTTTGTGCTCCATCCCTGCCTGCCACAGGGAGATGACCTGAGCAGCTCCTGTGCTGTGCCACGGTGCCTTTGAAATCTCCACTGCAGAAATGCACTCAATTCTCTTCTCCAGGAAGAGACCACAACTCATCCTGACTTTGTGTGGCTCCCAGGCTGAGCTGAGGCTCTGCTTGTGGCCAGACCCCTCACTGGGGCTGCCCTCGACTTCACTGGCAGAAATATCTGAAGCTGGTTTTTGAGTTATCTATAATTTTTTTAGTTATATATAATTTAAAATATATTAAAATCTAATATGTAATACAATATATAAAAATAAATAGTGTTAAAATTTTTGGAGTTATATATAATTAAAAATATAACATAATATAATATAATATAATATAATATAATATAATATAATAATAAATATATAATTATATGCATTATATATAAATATATATAATATATAAATATATATTATATATTTTAATATAATATATAGAATACATTTATAGATATAATATATAGAAATATATAACATATCTTTTTATATTATATTATATTATATTATATTATATTATATTATATTATATTATATGAAATGAAATGAAATGAAATGAAATGAAATGAAATGAAATGAAATGAAATTTTTTTTAGTTATATATAATCAGTGTGCAGACTGGGAGCTCCCTAAGGCTGAGAAGAGCACCCAGTGTCTTCCCCAGATTTGAGATCAGCCAAGTTCACAACTGAAGTGCACACAAATTTTTTGGTACCTACTGCCTCTGTACGTTAATCATTGTCTATGATAATGCCAGTTTTACAGTGATAAGAAATGACACTGAGGATGTTCTCATCATACCTGACTCCTGCACTGCTTTTCCTTTCAGTTCCCTTACTGGCTACAGGTCTTCTAGATGCACTTTGTAAAAGAGAATTGTCATGCTATACTTTCCAGGGTGGCCTTTATCTACCAGGAAATCCAAGTTTTGGTGCACATAATTTGCAGTTAACAAATCCCCTGATTACATGTGCTGGGCTAGAATGTGAAGAGATCGCAAATGTGGGTTTAGGGCTTGAACACACAGAAGGAAACTCGGTGCCAAAGCCAGCATTGTGAAACCTGTACACACAAATGTAGGGCAGGAGGGGGTTTAAACCCTGGCCACGTGCAGGGCAGCCTCTTTCCACATCAGCTTTTAGCAAACAGAGGAGTTTTTGAGATACCAAACCTAGCTGTGATTTAGTGACCCCACATCCTAGAGGAGCGATGATGAAGGTGCTGTTCCAGGCTCAGGGGATGGGAAATCACTGCCAAAACATCTCTGGTGGCTTTTGCATGCTCTGAACTGGGTCAGACTGGGAAAGATGTCACCAACCTCGTGCCAGGGCCCCGAGGATCAGTGTGGGGTGTGGGGCTGAGGACAATGAGCACCACCCTGGCAGAGAGTGCTCCTCAACTCTCCAGTGAAGAATCGGGGCTGCATTGCAGCAATGTTTCACATCATCACCAAAATGAGACAGCTCTGACAGGAGTGTGAGGGAATGGCCATTAACCACACATAAAAACTGAGAATATGGGTTGTAGTGCCAGCCAAGGTGAAGGAAACAAATTTGTATAAAATGGGAAAATTTATCCTGCTACAACACATATGTCACATAGGAAAGACAGAATTAGTAGTGATTTTTGCTCCTTTCCTTTTGTCATTCTATTTAAACCTTACATATTTCTTATATCACCCCCATAAAGTGTTCTTTTCTTTATTTTGAATTAATCCTAAAACATTTGCCAAATTATGAGCTATTTGAAGGTGGAAAATCCAAACTACATATCTGGGCAAATCTCAGAATGATAGCAGCTTCATGAAGAAGGAACATCTAAGCACAGGAAGTGCTCCACAAAATTATTCCATCCAAAATTTTGATGAAATAATGTTCTGAAGAAGGAAAGAGTTGGTTTCAAGAAAGCATGACCTTATTTGAAAATATTCCAATTTTCACTTTTGGAATTGTTCAGACAATAAGGAACTGCACTGAGTTCATCAAAATAAATATTTCATCCTTTCCTGTTCATGTTTATAGAGGGCAAAGCTGTCATCATCTAGTAAGGAAAATACAGATGAACCTTAGGAGAGATATAAGCAATCTTTAAAAAATCCAATTTAGTTATAAAAAGTACCTAAAATGAGGTTGTTTTTTGATTCTAAGAAATTTTTAAATATTTCTGAAGCCACAAGGAAGCTGTAATTCTGAATTACCTTAGGGGACTGAACTCAGCTGGGCAGCAATAGATTTCCATGCATGGCCATTTCATGTATTTTTTGAAGTTATTTTTACAAATGGTAGGGAAGGACACTTACCCAAGACAAACAAGCTAATTTCAAAGCAGCTACTTCCCGAGAGAGCTGGTTAGTCATTAACAGCTAAACAAATAACACAATACCGAGTTCGATAAAGTTCAGAAAAAAACTCAACCTGTCAGTTCTACTGTATGAATCAACAGAGAGCCCAAACAGACACTGGCGGTTCGTTTACAAAATTATATTGAATTTCGGGGAAATTTGTGCTGCTTCAAAAAGTGGAAAATATCTTCTTGTTCAACGGGAAGTGACAAAGCAAAACATCTGTGTTAAATGACATTTCTGGAGTAGGATAGGGGGTGGAAAACTTTCTGCAAAAATAAGATCCAGTTTAGCTGCATCTTACAAAAATTACATATATTGAAAAACCTTGATTTGGAGACAGCCAGAGCTTTACAGCAGGCAATTTAAAATTCAGGTTCCCTTGGGCCTTTTAACTTTACTTGTCTCCTGACCTCCCTCCAGGCCCTACAATAATAAGTCTAATCATTTTATATTGTAGGTGATATCCCTACTGAAACTCTGATTTCTTTTGATGAGCCAGTTAATGAGCAAATGTGAAAATCCCATCTTCACTAAGCTTCTTAGCAAATTAAAAGCCTGCCAAAACTCTCCGAAGGGATCACTAACGCCAGAATCTCATTCAGCTGCACGATTGGTTTCTTGAAAGATGACCAAAATGCCCTTTATTTTTACACAGCAAGCAGTTGATTTCAGAGGATGGAGTTCACTTTATGCCAGAGTAATTTTGACTGCAGAAAGATTAAATCCCACACAAAGTGCTTTATTCCTGCGAACCGAGCGGAAGTGTCGGCGTATAAACACTCCCGCCTCCCAGCCAAGTCCTTTGTGCCCTAAAAACTCTTGGACCATCTTGGTAGCCAGAAAAGGAATGCAAAGCTAGCAATGGTTTGGATATTGTTTCTCAATTCAATTTCCCAGGACCAACTTAAACAAGGCACACGCTCATGGACAAACGCTGTTTGGGACGACATGTTTTCCCGAGGATTAAACATCAACGGAGGTCGTATACGGGAATGAACCACACATTTGAACAAGAAATATTGGTAATAACTCCCCTCCTAAGCAATACAGCAGGTAAACCCAGGGAATGCCACGAAGACATCTACCAACACCTGCAAAACCTGGTGGGCTCTTCAGGGCATGACAATCAGCCCGCCAACGAAATGAATAACCCAAAAGAATAACCCAAAACGGGACCGGCAAGCGAAGGGGTGGCGTTTCAGCCCAAACATCACCATGGATGCAACAGATTTTGACAGGTCAGCTGCTTAAATATTACCCCTTCCACCCTTTGCCCCATACCTCCCACCAGCCTTTCCTCTGTGTCCAGCTTTACAGCAAAAGTGGCGGAGCTTATTCAAGAGAAAACGAATAAAAATCTCACCGGTGTTGTTGGGGAGCACGCGGAGGTTGTCGAATTCCAGCATGGTGTAAGAGGAGTCCAAGGAGTCGACATAATCTGGCATATCCATGTCCATGATGGACTGACAAAGCTTCATTATTACTTGACAACAGCGAGGGAAGTGGCAGAAACAGCCCCGCTGTCAATCACGGCCAAGGTTTCCTCTGCAGAGAGAGACACCCCGCTCCTGGCAGTGACAAATCATTACCCAGCTCTGCCCGCAGTCCCTCCCCGTGCCAGAAGAGAAGGGACGAGGCCAAACCCTCTGGCACAGTCCCCTCCCTTCCCGGGGTGCATCTCGCTCTCTGGCTCCTGATAAGGTGATGCAGATAAGGCCCAGGCTCAAACGCCTTGGATTGCATCTTCGGGTCAATACAGCAGCATTTATGGCTGCTCCTGCACAAACATTTTGAGAAGGGCTGGGGAGAGGCCGTCACACACATGTGTCACTCTCCCAGGGCACAGTGGTCACATCCAATCACCAATTGTCACCTTGCTGGCCCTACCAGCCCTTGGGGGAAGAGCAAACCGTGTCACTTGAGGCTGGTGAGGATAATAAATAAATGTCCCACCGAATGAGGACCATTAAGGCAGGTCAGCATGGAGAACCTGAGTTATTTCCATGAGACACACAGCGCTCACACCGTGAGTTGCTGCTGGAAGGGGGAAATGATGCTTCAGTCATGCCCTACACACGGTCTCACCCTGCTCCATAGGCAGAGGCGAGGTGGAGGAGGCGACTTCCACCCACCACCCTCCATCCCTCTCACCTGTGTCTTCCTCCCAACTCCAGGCAGCCCCAGTGTCCCAGGGCTCCCTCTGGGCTCTGCTGGTGAGTTGACATCATGGAAGGTTCCAAACACGGCAAATGATGGAAATGGAAAAGGCTGGGAGGACTGGGCAGAATCCCCCACAGATGTGTGGTGTTGCATTTCACGCTGGCCCATGCCTGGCTATTCTGGGAAAGGTCTGTAGTACAGAAATTAAATTCCAGTTTTTTCCCCACAGGCCCATGGTGTTTGGTCTGGATTTTTTTTGTAATTTACTGAATTTTACGCGAACCAGCTTTTTTGATTTCCTGAATTTTACACAAAAGTTCTTTCCTTGTTAAGGAAAGAACATGAGCTGTGCTTCAAAAGGCTGGAAACAAAACTCAGCCATGCAAAGCCATACAGCTTGGAGTGATTGGTTTATTCCCACTTTGATCTTCCAGATGCCCTCCCTGACATTACAGCTCCCTCTCCAGTGACGTGGTTTTTGTGTCAGAGGGTCTTTCCTCTCCATGAGCTGTTCTGAGAGATCCAGGTCAACATCCTGTTGGATGTGGAGGAAAAGAAGAGTTCTTGAGAAACAGGGAGACGTGTTGCCAGAAAAGGAGTCTTGGCCAAAAGGATGGGATTGCCAGACTGCCTGAACTCTCACTGAACCGAGGAGCAGGCTGGCCCCAAGGATCCCAGCAATCTCCAAACAGCAAGAAACACTCAAAAAATCTGAGCTTTTAACTGTTTTCATTATACTAATTTGATTTAGCCTCCATTTCATTTTTGTTTTAATATATTTTTCCTTATCCTGGGGCTATACAGTGGACATTGCAAGGGGTTAACTCCAGATAGGCTTTTCCTCTATAAAGATTGGGTGTAGAAACTTTCAGCTTTACTTTCTTATCGTTTCTGGGAAATAAAATAATTTCATGTGCCATATTTTCCTTTTCCTTCTTTCCCTTTTTAAGGACGTGTTGTAACCAGTGGTGCACAAATGACTCCTTGCTTAGATAAGACGTTATGTTTTTATCCTTGGACTGTGCCCCAGGCTCCCAGTAATGCCAGCATCAGCTAAGTTGGGATCTGATTACTTGTTCTTGCCTCTTACTCAATGTCAGGCTTGATTATGCTCATTAATCTGGTTGGTTATTTTTTTAAACTGAGCTGTGGGCACCATCTTGCCTGATTCTCAGCCCTCTGCTACTATTACAGTAAGATTTTTCACATTTCTACAATTCTAGGTTTTTGGTTTTGTTTTTGGGGGGTGGTTTTGGATTTTTTAATGTATTTCTCACCATTAAAATAACCATTTTGGTATTTATCAAGATTTTGGGCAGCTGTGGCTCAGAGAGGAGAAATCTGGGCTCCTGCCCTGATCTTGTTGGCTTTAGAGATCTCTCAATGTTTTCCATCCCTCAGAATGATGTGAGGGTCAAGGATAATTTCCAAGGGAAGTTGTGGAATGAGGATGCGCTTGGACAATTTTCATTTTGGGAATGACAAAAGGTTACAGAGCAAATTTCGTAGTTCAGGACCAAATTTCAGCACCACATCCACACAGATAATCAGGACTGACTTGTGCAGGGTGGAGCTGGAGGCACAGAACATGGCATTTGTTCCAAACAGATGTCAGCACCCTGCTCCAAACCCCTCCAGCACAAAAGCAGCCCTGAAGATGGACAAAACCCTGCTGAGGTTTGGGCAGTTTCTTCTTTTTCCTCCCCCTGCTTTCTTACATCACTTTCTGAACCACGGCTGCAACTCAGCTGGGACCTGCTGGGGCTGAGTTTTATCAAAATCAGGAGAAACCAAACTCACCCAGAGGTGGCCTCACATCTCCTGAGCTCACTGTGAAGTGACAATGAAGTGACAGCGGCCCAGCCAAGAGCCAGGAATCTCCATTTGGTTCCTTATTACCTTACCATGATCCAAGCTGAGAGAGCAGCCAGGGAGATGGAAAGAGAACTCAGATCTTTCCCAGAAAGAAGGATTTGAGTAGGGATTTGTGAGGTTGGCCAGCACTTTGTGCTGAGACACTTCCCATGGCGCCTTCCTTGACTCACCTTCACAGGCATCTTAGGTGGATAACCAAAGGCAAAACTGGTGAAGTCAATCTTCCCAGTTTGGAATTGGATGCCAATCCTCCTCCACATGGACATAACCCTCTTTTCAATGTGTTTTCCATTGATTCTTGCTTTGAGGCTGGATATAGCTGGAGGGTGCAGGGGAAAGGGGAGAAGGGAGAAAGAACCAGAGTTAAGTTTAATAAAAATAATATGAACGTTCAAAGTTCGAGCTCTGGGAATGAATCAAGGTGGATCCTCCTGTGCGAGGGCACAGGGCAGGCTCTGAAGAACACATGGAACCAATAAGACAACACATTTATTCCTAGAAATAAAACTCAGGTGCTCTTGGGAACGCTTGTTAGACAAGATGAAGTGCAGCAAAGATAAGGACACTTTGATCGATTAAGAGAGAACACAAAGTACTGTGGGCAGGGCGTCAGAAATAACATTTCTTTGGCGAGGTAAGTGATGGGGGAAGATATTTGCAGGCCATGGAAGCTGCACATCCATCTCTGGAGGCTGATTTTAATGGAAAGGAACTCGGTGCTGCATATGGGGAGAGGTGTCTGAGAGACTGAAACTTAATGAAAGACTTGTAGGTATGTAAAATGGTGAGGCAGAAGTCACTAAATGGATTTTTGGAACAGAAGTTTTCTTCTTTTATTCATAGAAAGCCACTGAGAATCTCCTACCACTGTTGTGAAATTTCCTCTGTCTGAAATGCAGCAATAATTATATTTCTGTGAACTTGCAGGGTTCAGGAAAAGGGGTTTTATGCAGTGAGCATAAATCCATCACTGATAGGTGGTTCTCAGAAGCAACACTAGACACAACAGTACCTACCTGGACAGGTGGTGTCGGGACAAAAACAATAATTTAAAGACAGAAGGCAGCAAGGCCCTTTTCTGGGTAATGTATAATTAGAAACAGTGTGCTTCTAACATTATAAGCAGTGTGAAATCATGTCCTTAACATGTAATTACATTTCAAAGTTATCTAGAGCAGATGTTATTAAATCAGCTCCCTCCTTTCCTGGGTGCAGTTTGATATTTGTGATGCACTAAACAGCAAAATGTTTCTTTCCATTTTCAGGTATTTTTAATTACAATGAACATTGCATTTCTACAAGTTGTGACCTCCACTGTGAGGGTCTCCTTGTTCTTCCAGCTGTTACCTGCCAAAAAGATTCTGTCTGTGTGGTGATTATTCATAAATAAAAATAATTTAAGAAATTTCTGAAGTCCAGTGATGGACAATGACCTGATGGACATTGGAGAGCATCACCCATCATGCAGAAGGATGGAGAGGGAAAAAAACCAAAAAAATATCAGGACCTTCACCTCCCTTCTCTCCAGACAAACTTATTTGGCTTTACTGCTGCCAAACACGTTCATTTATCATTTACTCATTTTGCTTTAGAACAATGAGGTTAGCTCTTACATAACAACCCTTTGGAGTAAATAGAAACTTTTGCAAGCTCCGGTCACTATGCTGGAAAAAATCCTTTACAACAATTTAAACAAACAAGAAAAAGAACAAAACAAACCAAGAAAAAATAAAAACTCCAAACCACAACAACCCTCCAAAAAACCCCACAACAACAAAAGACCAAACTCAAACCAAGCTAAAAATCCCTTAAAATCTCTTCCCACCAGGCTGGAATGATGGATTCTGGTCTTTACACACTGTCAAGTACAAATCACCCAGAGACCCCCTTGCCAGCAGTGACTTCAGGCTGGCTGATTGGTGAAATTTGTGAAATTCCCATTTATTGCACCGAATGTTCAGCACAGATGAAACCTGACTTGGATTTGGGGAATAACTCCAAGATGTTTTACATTTTTCTGATGACCAAAGGTCAGGCTGATGACTTGTTCTTTCTGAGTTCACTTAACTTTTGTTCTTGGCTGCAGAGCACTTGGCCAGGGCCGGAATTTCAGAAGCACAAAGGGCTCCCTTTGATTTCCAAATGGGAAGAGCCTGAATTTCAGCTGTGTTGAGAAACAGGAGCTCCCACTGGGAATAACAACTGGATTCACAAAGAAGTAGCCACAGGTCACTGGTGATTTAGAAGTAAATCCCCTTTTTTGGACACCTGAGTGAAATCTGATTAAAATCTCGTTTCCCTTACGTGGGATCCAAGATCTTTTAAAAATCTGTCCCTGCCTGGCAAAAGCTTCATAGCCAACACCTGGTGTCTCCATGCACCAGTTGGAATTTCTCTTCTTTGTTTTCCATAAGCAGAGGTAAATTCTCAGAAATAAGAAATGCCTGCAATATTTTTGAAAAAAGTAATAATAATATTTTTCCTCACATTAACAAATACTTCTGTCAGCGGGTATTCCTTGTGGATATTTTAGAGGACTTCTTGTCTCTTTTCCTTTCTGTAAAGAGATCAGCTGATCAACACTTGAAATTATGGAAAAATAGGAACAAGTTTCATTTAATGCTTTTTTTGTGGAAAAAAATTGTTGGTTTCATTTCCAATTGAACTTTGAGGTTCACCAAAGGGAAAACAATTAAAATATTTAATAATGAACAAAATTAAAAGTACTAGAAGAGCAGAAACAAAACATTTTCGTTCTTATGTTTGTTTGCAAATCTTGAACACGGTACCAGTTTCTGACACAAGTTTGGGACCCTTGGCAACATTTTAAAACTAAAATTAAAGTTATGTCCCAGGTAACAAAACTGACAAATTTGTGGGAACATCACCCTCTGTCTGAAAATTTAAGAGTTTCAATAGAGATCATGTCTGGCACAATCAACTCATGAAAACATCAACTTGTTTGTGAAACTCCACCTCACTCACCAAAATTAAGACAGGACTTACTTTAATGAATTTCTATTGTGTTCCACAGGTGAGATTTTAGCAGTGTTTCACTCTAAGGCAAAGAAATGTTCTTTTTGCAATTATTTCCTACAAAGATAGCGAGCTTTTCCTAGGCTGGGCTTACACAGGAAAATCCAAACTCAAATAACTGAGAGAGTCTGGGCTGAGCTCTGCTCCATTTTGGAACAATCCATCCCAAATTCCTCCAAACTGTTGATCTATCCAACACTGAATAAAAACTGGAAAACACAGCTTTGGAATATGCTGTCCAGAGAACCAAAACATGGGGAAGAAATCATAAAATAATCAAACTTCCAGTTTTTCCCCCTCACTGCCCTTGGGATGAGTGGTTTCCACACGTTCATCCAGATTTTGTCAGAGAACCACGAGGTTGCATTAAGAGCCCATCACTCAGGCACCCTGATTTTCACCATCCTAAACTAACATTTCACACATGGATTGGAAAAAAATCAGTATCTCTGCAAGCCCTGAAGAAAAATTGGCATGCCATAGAATTATTAAGATTGGAAAGGACCTCCAAGACCACCCATTCCCCAGCACTGCCAAGCCCACCACTACCCAACGCGCCACATCCACACGTTTTTAAATCTCTGCAGGGATGGTGACTTCACCATTCCCTGGGCAGCCAGTCCCAACACTTGATAACCCTTTCCATGAAGAAAATTTTTCCTACTATCCAATCTCAGCCTGCCCTGGCTCAGCTCGAGGCCGTTTCCTCTCCAGAGGGTGATTCATCCCAAACTCAGGTGTCCAAGGGACCTCAGAGGAACTGCTCATCTCTGCCAACCTCCCTTCATGGAGTTCACGGGCGTTTTAGGTGAATTCCGCTCAAACTTTATGGAAGGTGAAGTCACAGAAGATGAACTCCCCCTGCCAAGAATGAAAATGACACACGGAACTGTCAGGAATTGGGTTGGACTCCACCATTGGTGATGTCGGCCCCTGATTAAGAAAATAGCAAAGTGCAAATAAATAAATAAGGAGGAAATAGCAAACAGCTAATAAATAAAATAAATAAAAAATAACAAATAAATAGCAAATATGCCAGCCTGAGACTGGGCTGGCAGCGGGGGAGGACAGAGGAGCCAGGGAGAGCAGAGCATTCCCTCACCCACTGGAGCTGGAGTAGGCATGGGGCTCACCTGGAGCACTGCGCTGCCTCTGGGCAAGGTTTTGGCTTTTCCTGCTGCAAACACAGTTTAGTCAGGGGCAAGCAGCCTTGAGGAGAGTATTTTCTGTGGCTCCCATGTCCCTGTGAACATCATTGCTGCCACCCCGAGCGATTTCGGTGTTGACACTTCTTCAGCTCTGTCATTAGCTCAGCTGAGGAGAGAACAGAAATGCCATTCAAGCCCCAACGTGGGACGTTAGGAGGCAAATCCTTGCCTTGCACTGAAAACATGATGAGTGTTTTATGTTGGTGCTGTGCTTTCTATTTTAGGGAATGCTTTGTTAGGTTACAAGGCCTTTCCTAGCACATAAAGCATCCTTTTTAAGGGGTTCTTCTACCATAGCTATATTCATTTATTCTGATCTGAAATCTCCCCATATCCCCAAAAATTAACCCAGGACTTGGTGTTTGACTTGTATCTTACAAATTCCTAGTTTGGGGTTTAAAAGCATTTACCTTGTCCCTTGTTTTTCTTTTGCATTTTAAGATTTCTGTGCTGGGATCTGGATCCAGTTTGGTCACAGTGAAGATTCAAATGTCACCAAAATTCACCTTTTCCGGTTGTAAGGTTGTTTTTTTGTAAACCATTCCCTCAGTGTCTTCACACTGTGTTTTTGTTTTATGAGATGAACCAAGAGATTGTATTTCAGAGAATCACCAAGAGTGGGTTGACCTTTGCCTGTGATCACAGAACCATCAGCAGATTTACAGTAAACTGAACAATGCTCCTTCCAGGGAAATGAGGCAGCATTTCTTGGGCAGTTTTGATTTCTGAGTGTAGTTTTGATTTCTGTTTCTGTCCCCCAAATTTCCTATTTTTGCCATTGTTCAGACAAGTTAATAATTCAGGACAAAGATGGAATTCCTCCAAAATACTCCTTTCAGTGTTGTCTGCTAGGTAAACTAAGTGCAAATATAAAAATTTCAGAGAGAGGATAGACCACTCTAAAAAAGCCAAGACAAAACCCAAAGGTTAAATCCATTTTATCTGCAACAATCCATTTTATATTTGCACATCTGACCTTGCAGCTCATTCACACACACAGACATTTTGTTGGAGCTCAGCACCAGGGTAAAAGGGAGAAGTCCTCAACCAACATTTTAAGTGTTCTGGAGAAAAACTTTCCATTTCTGCAGGGAACTGGAAAGCTGAACCAGGCACAAACCTAAATAAATATTGATTTTATTTTTTAGATGATGGATTATCTGAAATGTTTATTGTTTTGAAATTGAGGGGGCTTTGGAGTAAACATCTCTGAGTTATAATAGCATCAAAGGGGGAAAAGTCAAGAAGAAAAATGAGAAAATCTGCCAGAAAAGATCAAGGAATTATAGAATATCCTGAGTTGGAAGGGACAAGGATCATTGAATTCAACTCCATCAAGTCCAATAGCTTGTTCTAAAGAACTGAGGTACAGGACCAATCCTCATTTTATATCTGGAGTTTCAGGATTATGTGTTCATCTGTTGGAGAGGGAATTTGGTGATAGAACAAGGGAGTGATGGCTTTAAACTGCAAAAATTTAGGTTTAGATGGGATCTTAGGAAAAAAATCTTCCTTATGAAGGTGGAGAAGCCCAGAATGGGTGCCCAGAGCAGCTGAGGCTGCCCCTGGATCCCTGGCAGTGCCCAAGGCCAGGTTGGACAGGGCTTGGAGCAGCCTGGGACAATGGAAAGTGTCCCTGCTGTGGCTGGGGAGGGAATGGGATCATCCTTAAAATCCCTTCTAACCCAAACCATCCTTCATAATCCAAAATGACAAGTTATTTTTAAAGCATTTGGGGCAAATTCAGACAGATTTTCCTTTCTAAAAGATTCCCCCCCCAGTGCACAGACATACTGATGTGTGGAAAGATGCTTTTCATGACTTTAAATTGAAGAAATTACTGTAAACATCCAGCTATATTTTCCCCATAATATCCATTTTTGAACACTTCAGTCTCTCCCAGACTGTCTTACTCATAATTGCTGCCCTCTTTAGTGGGTGTAGCAAAAGCAAGGGACTGCTTGCCAAGTGCCAAACACACATCTCCAAACCCCTGAGCCTCACAGATATTTTCAGGAAGCTGTAACCCCCGATAAATCTTTGCAGGCCACTGAGATGAATAATATTTGTGGATGCATTTTTGAGGCTGCCATAGTGGAGAGGTATTTGTGGCTTTGTGGGCTTTGCCACTCACATGGAAAAGTATGCCTTCCCTATAGCCATCCTATAGGCTATATTTTGCACATCTGTCTTTAATTAAGACCATTTCATATCTTCAGGAATATGTGCCATCAAATGAATCATTTAGAAATTGGAGTTAACCAGCAAATTATACACTCCTCTTTTTTTTTTTTTTTTTTCATTCATGAATTGCCAGTGTCAAGATTCTCTCAGGGCAGAGTTTTTAGCAAATCTGGTGAGCCCAAATGTATGGTAAATGTCACAGGATCAAGGAGGGGACAGATCAGACCTGCATTTTTACACTATAAACCTATTTACAACAGCTATTATTCCACATGGAATAACATTATCTCTGTCTGGATTGGGGTTTTCTCCCCCAGATATTTCAGGAAAAAGAGTCTTAAATTGTGGAGGAGCTCTCCAAGCCAAGCTTCATTTCTGATTTCAGTGATGTTTAGAGCATTACATGGGGTTGTTATTCCATGGTCCCTTGCTGGAACAGGTCACTGTGGCCTCCCCTGCCTGCCAATTACATTTTTGCTCCAGGCCAGAATTCTGCATAAAAACAGCAATGAATTACTAGCAGAGAGAAAAGGCTCTTTATTCCTCTTATTTCTACTTCAGCAATGCTTAGAGGATGGGAGCTCCCAGCCCAGGTACTGCATGGAGTTTAACCAGCTTTAATTAAAAATTAGCTGATTCACATAACTGATTTCACCATGAAAATGAGAAAGAATGGAACAAGTTGGTGAATAATTTTCAGTAAATCTCATGAGCCAATGGAGCCTCCATGAACTCAGAAACATCAAGGACTGGAACAATTTCTTTTTGGTCTGAATTTTTTTTCATTGAGCTTATTTATACATCAGCAGCACTTAGGGGATGGGAACTCCCAGTCCAGGTGCTGCTCAGAATAAAGAAACATCCCTGCTGATAACAACTGCAGACAAGAGGTGAGGAGGAGAAGGAAAAGGGAAACCAGACCAGCTCAGTCCCATGTGCACATCTCACCTTCCCCACCAAATAAAGTCACTGCATCATGAGAATCACCCAGCTCTGACCTCACTGCATGGAGTTTAATCAGCTTTAATTAAAAATTAGCTGATTCACATAACTGATTCCACCATGAAAATGAGAAAGAATGGAACAAGTTGGTGAATAATTTTCAGTAAATCTCATGAGCCAGTGGAGCCTCCATGAACTCAGAAACATCAAGGACTGGAACAATTTCTTTTTAGGTCTGAATTTCATTGATGGGTATACAAGGCATATATAAAACAAATTGCCTGTCACCCTGGAAGTCTGTTTTCCCAATTTTATACAACAGCTCATCTCATCTTTCTCCTGGCCATCTCCAGCTTTGCTCCTTTCTTCCAGTCAGGACTTTCTAACTGGCATTGGCCCCCAGGAATCACAACCAGCCTGGCAGCCACAAGCAATTTACACTCCACAGTTGCAATATTCTCTTTATGCACTTCGGTTTTGGCCCATTTTTCTCTCTAGAAGATTATGCAATGCTAATTACATTCTTTTATTTTTTTTTTCCAGGAGAGTTGATAGAAACACATCCAAAGGCACATTTCCCTAGGCAATAGCCTGCTTTAATAAATTCTGGTTGCACTGGAAATATTTGTACTCTAATCTGTAAAACAGAGATTAGGCAAAAGTTCCTAATATTGCTGTAAGCACTTCAAGCCAAGAAACAATTCTATTGTACTTTAAATTAAACATGTGTTTTCACGTCATTCTAAATTCATACATTTCTTCCCCAAATGTATGTTCCAGTTGCATATTCATGAGTTTAGATCCACGTATTAAGAAAAGAACCAACATTTGCCATGTGCACAGCAGGTGACACACCCATGCACTGCTAAACCCCACACTGCTGATCAAGTGTATTAAATATTTTTGTAGAAATTTAATCTAATCCTTGCCTGAAAAATAAATCCCAGACAAGAGCAATAAGGATAAAAGGCTTTCAGAGAAAACAGTGTTTGCTTAGGCAATATGGATAAATTATGGGCAATTTTGTATTAATAAATGGAGAAATTATTATGGATAATTTATTATTAATAAATGGAGAAATTATTATGGATAAATAATGAAATCCACAAAAATGCTTCAAAAATTATTTTTCATTGTTATGTTAATGGGCAGATCCATAGACATTGAGATAATCTGTAGACAACCAGATTTAGCTACTGGACAATTTATCCCACTAAGAAATACCCACAATTTAGGGGGGAAATCCCTTCTCTTTCTTCTATGCTACAGCAGCAGCGCTGAAACCATCTCACCTCAAACAGGGTTATTCTGGATTTACCATCAGTCTGAACAGAATCTCTCCCAATTAAACCCACCCAGAGCATCAAGAAATCCTTCTGGCAACACAAAAACCCTTTTGCTTCATTTATTCCCAATTTTCAGCAGCACAATAAGCTATAAGCATCAGCCACGGGAACCCTGGTGAGCATGGAAACCTTTCCTGGTGAAAACAGAGCTTTCCCAAAATTTTGAGCACCAGATATCAGCTTGGCTTGGTTAATTGAACCAAACCCAGTTTAAAAACACCTTGGTCAAGCAATAGAGCAGATGCTCAGGCTTTCCTCTTACTGCAGATGGCAGCAGAGATGCTGACTCACCCAGCAGAGCTGCTCCTGCGTTTATTTTCTGCACCTCCAGAGCCTGGGAACAGCTTCCCCCTGGAATGGAACAGGGCAGAACCCAACGGAAAGCACAACGAGGGAGTCAGGAGCGGGTTCTGGATGTTCCTGTTGCTCCTGGCCACCTCCTGCCCTGCTTTCCACACGCGCTGTTTGCACAGCCTCCTTGCAGAAATCACTTGTCTCCAGGCTGCGGCATCAGGGAGAGACAAACTGGGGGAGTATCCTGGAAAAGGAGGAATGGGAGATGTGAAACAGATGTTTTCCCTTAATTGCTTATTGCAGAGGCAGCCCAGTAACTAATCCACCTGCTGTGCTCCCACAGGGATAATTACCCACCCCCGTGCTCCCAGCCGGCTGAATTTATGTTTTCCATGCCTCATTATATCCATTCTGCCCAACAACATGGCCCAAAGTGCTGCACAAGTGCCACACTCACACAAATACCCATCTCCTTCTTGCCCAGAGCAGCTGGGGCTGCCCCTGGATCCCTGGAAGTGTCCAAGGCCAGGCTGGACATTGGGGCTTGAAGCAAGCTGGGATAGTGGAAGGTGGATTGGAACAAGAGGATTTTTAAGGTCCTTTCCAACCCAAACCATTCCATGATTCTGCAGCTCTAGGTACAGAGCTAGAGTACTTTAAATTAGTATTTTCAGTATTGCTTAGATATAGAGAATCACATGGCAAGCAGGGCTTTCCAGAGAATCAGGAGATGTTAATTAAAAATAACAGCATGGTAGATGTGAGAGGAGAGCTTCCCAACCAATCACAGCAGTAAATAATTCATGTCTGAAATCCCTGTTTCTTCTTAGACCCCTTTTGTCATAGGAAGTGATCAGGAACACACAGTGAAGGCTCCTGAATATCCAGGTGATGTTTGTGCTGATTTTTAAGTTGCTCACATTGTTATTCTGAGTCATGTTCAGCACAGAGCAATGGTTGATGTTCACCCATAATTTTCCCCAATTATTTCAAGGCTTGCACTCAAAGCTGGTGTTCAGTATGGAGAGAAGCCCCTGGTTATGAGGTCTGATCATGGTTAAAATGCAATTAACAGTTACAAAAGGTTAATTGAACAAAGAAAAATAGAAGTTTCAAGGGATCTCTGCTTCTCACCTTGGAAGCAGGGGCAGCCCAATCTCCAGTGCTCCAAGAGTGGAGCTGGATCCTTCTCACTGCCAGAGGAATTTGACTTTGATGGAGTGGATGGTGCACAAGTGATGGGAGGGGAAAAATTGCCACTGACTGGACTTGATAGGGCTGGAAACAGAACGTGACCCGAGCTCCAAGCCTGGTTCTGCTCCTCATTAGCACAGCCTTCATCTCTCCTTCTTTTCCAGGGAGCTACTTCTTTCAGAGCCTCAGGCAAGAGCCAGCACCAGCTGGAGATAATTTAGTCCCACTTCACTAATGTTGATGTCTCTGGATTTAATATTGGCTTTTCTGGAAGCCTCCTAGGGCTCTTTGGCTTGGTGAGGCGGCTCAGGTAGTTACCCTGAGCATAATATTTTGTTAACCAAGAGGGTGCAGATCTATTTCAAATACAAAACAGGAATCTGCTCATCCAGGACTAACAGAGCTCCCCAAATCTTCCCCTGCTGAATGCTCAGCAGCCCTCAGCCCTGGGGAACATCTTCAAAAGCCTTTCAGGCTTAATTAATGCCTGCTGGAGGGACACTCCAAAGCAAAGTGAAGTCCTCAGAGGGAAAATCCAGTGGCTGGAGAGATGGATGTGGATGTGCTGGGAATGCAGAGAGCAGGGGGGAGCACTGAGCTTTGTCAGGGGGTCACCAAGGGCTTTGCTCAGTGGAAGGGGCATCCAGGTGCAGCCAGAGAGCCCCCAGAGTCTCCCCTGGAAATATCTGAGCCAGGGTGATGCCTTGGGAAGGCTGAGCTAAAACAGAGGCTGCACAGAGCTACAGAATAAAGCAGGGATTTATTAAAAGGATCTCCTCAATGGATCCACCTTGGGCTGCACAAGAGCCCAGCCAGGGCTGTACCCAAAGTGAACCAAAATGGTCCCAAAATGAACCCAAGGTGAACCAAAATGGCCCCAAAATGAACCCAGGATGAACCAAAATGGTCCCAAAACGGCCCCAAAATGCACGAGCGCTCCCAGGGTCTCTCCCTGGGATCAGTTCTGCTCCATTTGCACCTTGCAGTTCATTGTCCCATTCCAGCTTTAGCCCAGGCAGTCCCACCCTGCTTGTTTTTCTCTCTCCAGCCCACGGGGTTTGTGCTCCTGGGCTGAGATTGGGATCATTTGTCCTTGGTGCCCAGCTGGAGCAGGAATTGTTTTGTGTCCCTGCTCTGTGCACAGAGCTCAGCATCCCTGATGTGAGCCCAGACCCTCACACTAAAGCAGCACAGAATGTGAAAAATAGAAAAGCCAAAACCTGAGGCATCAAGGGGACCTGAGCAATGGCCTAGGGAGGAGCTGGGAGGGAGCCCAGATAGAGCAAGTTTTGAAAAGAGCAGACAATAAAAAGCTGAGGCACACCACAACAGATTTGCTCACACCCTTGTGCCTCGGGACAGGCACAAACCCATGAGCTGGCATCCCTGGCAAACCAGAAATCCAGAGGGAGATTCAAGCATTGCCCCTTGCCAGACTGGCCATGAAATATTGTCCTGCCCTGTTGCTCCTGATCTCTGTCCAGGGGTGTTCCCAGCCTGGTGTTCCTCTGTGCAGGATGATTTGGGACAGAGGGACATCAGTGATGGAAAGGAGATCCCAGATGTGCCCCATCAGAGCTATAAACACCACGGGTGTTATCCCAGGAGCTGGACAAAGGAAGGGCACAAAGAGACTGAATAAATTTGTAGGTTTGCAGTAACTTTAGTTTACCAGGCTCCCCTCAGTCACGTCCTGCAAAGCCAAATTTAAAACACCTTTTTGCTTTAATTTCCAACTGTTCAGTTGGATGCCTGCCTTGCACATGGGTGTGGTGGGAAATGTTGGTGTGATCTATATCACAAACAGAGGTTTTCCTTCAAGCCTCTCAAAACCCCATCTGTTTTATCAGTGTTACATCCAGCTATTTATGCAGGTAACTGCAGTCCCATTACTTGCCAGTGGCATGGAAAAACCATGGAATTAACCCAGCAGTTTTGATGTCTGCAGTAATTGTACCCTGCCTCCTCTTTCATGAAGAGAAAAATTTGCTACAAGACTCAAGATAAAACAAATAAATCCAATACAAAAGCCCATCTAATTGAATTAAATGAAAGTAGCCTCTCAGACTGCCCTTTCTGTGAATCACATTATCTTCGTGTTTACTGACTCTTTGACAGGAGACTAAATGATCCCAAATTTTATCAGAATAAATCAACTAAAGAAAAAAAAATCCCCTCTAAAAAGGACAGACGTTCTTAACAGTCATCTGGAACAGATTATTCCTCTCCAAGTAGCATTGTTGATACTGAAAGTGTTGTAACAATATCCTTTTCTAATGTGGTTCTGCTGTGGCTCCATCCATAATAAAACCAGTCCATGCCAGAAAACCCACTTAGCATGACAAGCTCCCCAAAACCTGGATTATTTGTGTAAGACTCTGATTTGATTTTTCAAGCTCCATGATCTGATGAAACTTCTTTTAATATTTTTAAAGGAGACCAATGAGCATCACCTACTCTGGGGAAATGTCTTTTGTTGAACCCTCCAAGTGCTTGTAAATCCCAAATGCAACTAAAGAGAGATGGAGGCTGAAAATTAAAACTATTTTCTCCGTTTCCAGCCTTGTAAAACCTAGAATAACTGCACCTTTTTTATTTTCTTGAGTATATATTGTCAGCTGAGCAGTATGGCTGCATTCAAAGGTTACAACAGATAAAGCAGAATTTATATTAATCTCATAAATGATGGATAAATATCAATCAAAGAACACCACCTTTACACCAAGATACTCAGAAAAATCCAATAATATTGAGGGCTCAAAAGGAGACAACTTAAACAAAACTACCCAGCAGAAAGAGCTGAACATTCACCATTTTTTAGCTCAAATGGATAAAAGAGTGGTCTACCAGGATCCCAAATAAAGGCATTTCTACCACATGAATGGTGGTCAGTGCTGGGAAGATGCCTTCTTTTCCAAAAAAAAAAATCCATTTCTGATTTCTGCCACCTCACAGATATTTGTGTCTCATTGCCCAGCACATTTCTGTCCCAAGCCATTAAGAAGTAATCAGGGAGAGAAAGATGAAGACTGAAATTCCCTAGGAAAATGGCATTTAAAATTATAGAATTCTGTGATTTTCACCCTTTATTTTCCTTTTCCCAGTGCTCACTTGCTGATGTATGAACTGCTCCTGTCCTACTTACACAACCTCCTTTTCTCTAGATGCACACGTTCATGGTTACACCAAAAACCAGTTATTCTTCAAACTAAAAGCTCTTCAGAACCTCATGGGGGGAAAAACAAGTAAACAACATCACCACAGAGCCTGTTAGATGCTGGACATTACCAGTTCCATCTGTTCTATCAGCCAAACACTTCCAAACCATTTCGCCCAGAGCAGCGAATCTCAATGAAAAACTGATCAAAAAAAATTTAAAAAAAAAAAGAGAAAGAGGGGATGAGAAAAGTCAGAGCCACTTCAGAACTTCTTTGAAGTGTTAGTCTGCTGTTCCCTGAGGTCACTGAGCCCAAGTGCCACCCCTGGCAGAGCATGAGGAGCCCTGGGTGCAGCCCTGCATGGCTGGGGAGCGGAGCAGCCACAAACCCAGCCAGCCTTGCCTCTCCTGGCAGCTGCTGGGACCAAACGTGGCTTGGAGCCACAACAGGACCTGGGCTCCCTCCCTCCAGCCCTGCCACCCTCGCTGGGAGCCAGCTGGGAGCTTTTCTTCTCGTCCTCTTTGTTGTCTGTGCTGCCCGATAGCAGAGGTCCTGCCAACCTACAATTAGGGACAAGAGCTGTGCCTTTGTGCTCTGCCTGCCCAGAGATAGGGCAGTAATTCATGAAGCCAGCATGCCAAGGGCTCGCCAGCAATGTCAAAAGCAAGTTCATAATAAATTACTCTTTTTTGGGGCACTTCCTTCACTTGCCAATGGAGGAAAAGCAAAGAAAAATGACAAAGAGCCCCTCTCCTTTCCTCCAGACAACTGTGATTTATTACAGGCGAAACAGGGAGGATTCCAAAAACATTACTGCTATAAAGAAAGGTAACCCAATCTCCAGCAAAAATAAACAGCCATGTTTAAATAAACCTTCTGAGAAGTGCTACTGCCCTTTTCTCTGGAAATTGGGGGAGCATTTCTGTGCCCTGACATTGTTGTGCTGTGTGAGACGCTGACCCAGGGATCTCGTCTGGTTTGGGTGGCCTGGTAAGTCATCAAAGGATAAAAGGCAGAGAACAAAGGGGGAAATAAAAGTATTATGAGCTGCAGCTGAAGTGCCTGACAGATGTTGGGTGGTTTGTGGGAACTGCCTTCCATCTCCAGAGCAGAGGGCTCACCCTGTCACTGCCCAGGCTCCTGCTGGGGAAGGGTGGGATGGGCAAGGTGTGTACACCCCAGCACACCACCCCAGAGGCACTGCTCAGTGGTTTAGGGGCTTCCCCCAGCTCTCCCATGAACAGGGAATGCAATAAATCACAGCAACACTCAGGTCACGTACTCTGCAAGGGTCCTCACAGGCTTTAGAGCTTGCAGAAGCACCAACCAACCCAAGAACAGCCTTCCCATGGCTCAGAGGACAGGATCCAGCCCCTCTGCACTGACCCTCTCCAGAGCTCTTTCTCTCCCCAGTGGGAAGGTTAAATCCCTCCTTGTTTCCTCCTCTCCTGCTTTAGCACCAGGATGGCACATTGCCCCACACAACCAATAGAAGTGGGTTAATAAAGAGTTTGGGAACAAATGCAGACCTTCAAGAGAAGCCAGAGGGGGCTTCAGGGGCATCCAGCCTGGCAAAGCTTCTGGAGAGATGCATCCACCTGCCCAGTGGCTGAAGTCCTGCTTTCCCTCCTTATCACACACGCAGCTCCCCAGGCTCTGATGGCGTGATGTGTGAACATTGCTGTGCTCCAGAGCCTTGCACAACCCAGGGATTTACTGCCCCACTCGCTCAGAGTGATCCCAGGCACACCCTCTGCCTCCTCTGCTGCTGGCCTTGCTCTTTGCTTGACTTCCTTATGCCAGAATCGCTCCCTAATTAACAAGAGCAATTAGGAGAACTCACTGCAGGAATGTCAGCCCACTGAGATAAGAGATGATTAATGACACCAGGCAAATTAATCATACAGCTGCTTGGGTCTGTGGATCTCTTACATGCTGTGAACACATCAGAATCCGGGTGGAGTTTTTCTTATTGTGCTGTATGAAGCTCATCAGCAAGAGAAAGGTAATTAACCAGCCTTTTCTACCACACTTAAATAAGTAGGGTAAAGGAGAGGGGAGAAAAACAGCAAGACTTGTCTTTATGGATTTCTGTGATGATGAAAAGGCTGGCAAGGATAATTTATGAATCAATAGTGATCTGAGTGCTGTGGTCAGCTGAGAACAAGAGCTTGCCCGTAGCTTCAGGCAAAGCAGGCAGGGTTAAATCCCTGAGGAGCCCAGGCAGCTGGGACATCCTAAATGCAGAGCAGGCAGTGCTGCCAAGGCTCCAGCCCATGGAGACAGCAGAATACCTTGGCCCAGGCTCCAGAATAGCTGGCATGGGAATCAGGGAGCTGCTGGCCAAGAGAAAACGCCAGGGGAAGAGGCATGCCTGCAGCCACAGCCCTGCAGGAATTGGGTGCTGGCTCCCAGTCTGTGCTATCCATCCACGGCTGGATAAACACCCTGAGGCAGAGTCCTGAGGAGAATCACAGCCCTCACCTGCTCATTCGGTGCTGGAGGAGTCACCTTTGAGGTGAGGGACATCTCCCTTATCCCAGGGCCTGGAATTCCTCCTGTATCCCATGCCCTGGTGCCAGCCTTGTCTCTGTGGATGGCCACACTCTGGCTCAGCTCTCAAACAACTCTCCAGACTGAGCTCTGTGACTAAAAATGCTTTGGGAACAGCCTCTCCTTGTAGCCAGAGGCATCTGGAGAAGACAAATGGAGGAATGCTCATGGTCCCAGGATGGGAATGAAGAGATGGACACCTGTGTCCCTGCCCACCTTCCTGAGGGCAGTGATGGTCAGCTTGTCCAGAACCATCAGCAGAAGGGACATTCTGCTGCCCCAGGAATCTCCTGGTGGAAATGGAGGTGGATTTTCAGGGGCTTTCTAATTGGGCAGCAAGCCAAAGAGGGGAAGATTAAGGGTCCATACTTTGGACTGAGACACTCTGAGCTAAACCACCATCACACATTTTCCATGGGTGACTTCAGCCCTAAGTGCTTAAACTGCTTGGGAGATCCAGCACATCCAACTGTGCTTGAGACACCCAGCCCATCAGCCCAAGCCCCTGTGAGGCAGGAGGGACACCTGAGATCCTCTCCAGAGCTCCTGAAGCACACAGCAGGCACAAATAACCCTGCAGGAAAGCTTCATTTCAAAGCAGCTTGCAGTGAAAATAAAACACTTCAGCACAAGGTGTTCTTTGAAGTACATACCTGTAAGCATGTGTTGTTGTGAACTTTGAGTATCATTTCCTAGGTTGATTAGAAATGGACCTATAAAATAAAAATACAATCTTCAGAGTGGTCAGAAAAGCCCCACCTGAGTCATTTTCTCTGGATTCTCAGCCTGGGCTCCTGTGGTGTGAATTGTGTCACACTTCCTAATACAACTTCAAAGAAGACACTTGAAAGAACTCAAAAACCACCACTATAGACTGAGAGAGTATTTTAAGAAGTATTTTAACAAGTCAACTCAAATACCTTTCAGAGACAGTACAACACTGAACTGCAGGGCTTTTTTCTTTTTTCCCCCATGGGATAGTTATGTTTTACTCCCCCCCAAAAATTGACTACTTACACTTCTGATCCCTGTTCTTTCTGGCAGCTTTCACATTTCCATCATTTGGCAACACAGCAAGGATTAGGAGGCTTCCTGATATCCTCCTCCTCCCTGAAAAAGAACACACGGCTGACGCAAACGTTTTGATTTTAATATTTGGGCACACAACCAGTGGGGATCTCTCACCTGCTTTGTTGTCACTTTTTGTACTTTGCCTGCCTCAGTGATCTGACAAAATGCAGTGCCAATAGAACAGATTTATATCAAGGATTTATCCTGGAAAATAGGATTCTCTCCCCATAAAAATTCCCTGCTTCTAAGACTGTGGAAACACAGCATGGAGCCCCTAAATGGGAGGAGAAAACAGAGGAAATAAAACAGCACATCTACCAGGTAACAGGTTATGATTTGGCTGGATTGGTTGAAACAGGGAGCACATCCAGATTATTGTGATGGTTTGGTACCTCCTTAACATTTTTGTTCAAAAAGTACCTCTTAGTCTGGGCCCTTTTGGGGCAGATCACCACAGAAAAGGTGAATGGAAATCCACTGACTGAGGAGTGTGCATTTGCACCACTAAGAGATATCAGGCAGCCATAAAAGAGCTGTAAACCAATATTTCATATCTGGTCACACCAGTAGCCATAAACAATGTGTGATACTCTCACGTGCCTGATCCGTGACACCTTTTATGACTTTATCTGCAGATTTCCTCAAACCTGGAATTGTCCAAGGCCAGGTTGGATGGGGGTTGGAGCAACCTGGGATAGAGGAAGAGAGAAAAATGGATTTGAAAAATCCAGAATTATGAAAAATCCAGAAAAATCCAGAATCCTGACAGGAAAGCTCCCACAGTTTTGTACATCTGTGTGCAAACACTGAGATAAGGTGTGCTGATTTAGGAAGGCCACGGAATAGAGATGTTATTGTTGAGAGAGAGATTGAGCTAGAAAGAAGTTTTAGTAAGACTGAGAGACTGAACTAGAAACTAGTTTTAATAAGTTTCAAAATATGCTCTTACAAAAATATTAGATATTTTAAAGAATTAGAAGTGTGAAAGATTCAGAGTAGTAGGACCATGGGGGAAAAAATAGTCCTGCCCCTGATGGTCAATAGGTGATACAGCCTTCTCTTATTTTCCTATTACTGTCTTTAAAACTTCCATCTCCTCATCACTGCCACATTTTAGTAAATTTAAGGGCACAGGTATTTTTTTTGCTGTTTAAGAACATTTACTGATGGAAATTTAGATTACTCCCTGGCAGCTGAGTGCGGGGTTTGAAGCTGTAAAATTCAATTAAACCACTAAAGGAGGGATAAAATAGGACTGATTGTTGTGCCCCAGCTAAAAGTAGCTTGGCTGACATCAGCTGGGCAGCAAACAGAAAACCAGGGAGCTCCACTCATCTCCCACACTTGGCTGGAGACTTTGGTGCACGGAAAGACAAACTCCCCACTGCCCTGGGTAAATCTGTGCCCTCTCCACATCAGGAACAAGGACATTAAAGTCTCCCAGACCTGTCTGACCTTGAGGATGATCTTTCCTGTTTAATTTGACTGCCCTAAAACTTGGGAGCAGAACTGCAATTTCAAACTGGTAATTACTTGGCAAGTAAATAAACTACAGCAGTGCTGGACCCTGAAAAGTTAAATTACCATGTGAGCTTTCATTAAGTATTTTATTCATACTTGTTTTCTACAGAAAGCCTCCAAATTTGAATTAAAACAGAAGAGTCAGCAGCAGGAGAAAGTGCAAGCTAAGTGCAAGATATTTCTTTTGCTTTCAGTTGCTGCATTAAGGACAAGAAGCCAAGAGGAAAATATTAAATAAGCACCAGAAATACTAAGGTTTTGATGTTTCATGACAATTGTTTTCAGATGGACAGACATGAAATAATCCCACATCAAACTGACTGTGTCTGACATGCCTGCCACCAGGTATGGTCCAAGAGAGGCAGAGAGGGAGGAAGTGGTGAAAGGGAGGATAAATCATTCAGCCAAAACCCACTCCCAGCTCCTCCAGCCCATTCCAGTGACTGCTGAGGGTTGTTAACACCCACACCTCTCCACTCAGTGGTGTTTGTCAGGATTTTCTTCCAGCAGCATTCCTGAAAGGTCACTCCTGACAGGAGCATCCTGCTGGAAAACCTGTCCTCACACACCTGCAGGACAAACTGGTTTTACAGCAAGATCAGGAGCTGGAATGTGTCACAGACATCTTTTATGGAAAATCCTTCCCTTTGGATTTTTCCTCCTGAGAAGCTGGGAGGCCTCAGGAACAAAATGTAAGCATTGATTATCTGCTGCTGTGGAATGCAACAGGTGCATCTGGGATTGGTCTCATGTGGTTGTTTCTAATTAATGGCCAATCACAGTCAGCTGGCTCAGACAGAGAGTCCAAGACAGAGCCTTTGTTATCATTCTTTCTGATTCTATTCTTAGCCAGCCTTCTGATGAAATCCTTTCTTCTATTCTTTTAGTATAGTTTTAATATAATATATATCATAAAATAACAAATCAAGCCTTCTGAAACATGGAGTCAGATCCTCATCTCTTCCCACAACTGAGAGACCCCTGTGAACACCATCACAGGACTGGGCAGGAAGATGCTGAGGGTGAGACCTGAATGAGGAATTTGTGTTGCTCAGAAGCTCAGGGAGTTTAACTTCACTCGGATGACACCACCAGAGAGTGACACTGCCATGGCTCTTCTTCTTGAAGGAGAATCAGGCAAGATATTCCCACAGATCCCATCAGGTCTCTGGTATATGGAGAGCTTTGGATAGCTCATGGAATGGCACCCCTGAAGTTATTCCACCTCTGGAAGGGAGTTATTCCACCTTTGAGCAGCACTTGGGAATGGCAGCATCAAGCTAAGCCTGCTCAAAATCAGGAATCGACCTGGAGGAGCTAATTCAGAAAGGGTGTGAATTCCAGTCAGTAACAATGGATATCAGTGTTCCTGTCCCTCACAGCTGCAGGAGGAAAAAGCCAAGTTCTGTCTGTTCCAGGTCATCTGTTTCAAGACATCCAGGAAGCAAGCTGCCCATGGAGTTGGGCAGGACACTCAGCCACTGGATTCCATCCTGGAGAACAAACAATGAGGAGAAGGAATTTCTTGCCTTGCCTTTCCTGAAATCTGAACTGCTGTTAACCAGCCCTGTTGAACAGCAAACCCACGATCCAATCCCACACAGCATCTCTGGATTCAGCAGAAGGAAACCTGGGATTGTGGGATTTCTGTCTCCAGAGAGGTGCCCCCTTCTGCCATTCCCAGCCACAGGACACACCACAATTCCTGCTCTCTATCACAGCCCTTTGAGGAGCAAAGGAAGACATTTTCCAAGATTTCTGTCCTCCAGGAATGAAAACAGAAGACCAGATTTACTCACAAGTTTCTTCCAGGGGTGGTAAAGAAAGGAGAATTGGAAAAGCAGGAACATTTCTAGTAGGTGAGGTCCCTTCTGAAAGATCCACATAACCCATGCCAGTATTACCACAGCTTGCACTGAATATTTCCTTTTAGTGATGACATTTAAGGCTGAAATCTGAGCTCTTGGGACCCTGGTAACTTGAATGCCACAGCAAAAACTCAGCTCTAGACCTGCTCTTTATTTATTCATATATGAAATATGAAACATGAGGATATCTGGGCAATATGAAGGTCAAAGCTAGATGACCTTGAAGGTTCCTTAAAACCCAAATCATTCTATGACTCTATGAATTATGAAAATTTGAAGTTGCAAGCAAAATTCTGCCCATGCCCTGCAGGCAGCCTTCCCTCTTTTAGCTGTAGAAAAACAAAATTCTCCATGAAAACCTTC